TAGAGTACGGCGGTGTGAAAATTGCATATAGATAGTAGAATAGCGAGCTAGGACAACTTTTAAGGAAGGTACAAATCGGTTTTTTCATCTCTTTTTACCAAACTCCCCCTCACCATCCCTCTCCAAAGGGAGAGTTTGGTAAAGAGAGATGAAAAAACCAATGGAATGGTTTGGTGCAATGGAATGGTGCAATGGAAATGCACAAATCCTTTCTTGCTTTGAGTTGACTCCCATGAAATCGCATCTGATTCTCAAAAGTAACATCTCTCTTGAAGTTGATTCCTTCTTTATAGCATGACCTGTTATTTGCAATATCATCAGTTGTAAAATGTGAATTAGCAATGAATATATTATGGAAAGCGTACATCAGCAAACATGTATTTGAAAAATGTTAGTTATTGTATTATAAGAATTATGGCAAATGTCCTTTATGGCTATCGTACATTATGGCTAACGTCCACATACGAAAATAACAGTATGGCTAACGAACATTTTGAAACTCGTCCGTATGGCAAACGTTCGTATGGCCAACGTATTTATGGCTAATGGAGTGTCATCATTAGCGACATATTGTTGATCAACATGATCTATAATCGCACAAGGATGATGATAAAAGGTTACGATGATAATAGGGTTAACTACCCCATTTCCGGCCTGTTAAGCACAACCCGCACGTAGTCTTTCTTAATTGCAGTTTATCACCAAACGGAATGTTATTATTACTGATGGCTTCCAAGTTTATTTACCTTTCCGTATGTACCGTAAAATTTGATAAAGAGAAACCAATCGTTGAGATATTGTCAAAAGTCTAACACTGCTTCTTGACGCCAAACTCGGCCTACGGATTCTAAACTCGGCCTAACGCATAGAACCGCCATTGAAACGCCTATCGGTTGAAGATAAAAATTGATTCGGTCGGAGCGCTTCTTTTGTTTTCGGAAATAATGGGTACAAACCTTCATATCACGCGTTCTCATTGACTTCGTTCCGTAGCTTATTAACTAAAGTATCGTACCAAACGCATAATTGACTTGTTAACTCTGAAATCATGGATTTATTTGAAGTTTTCTGCTCGATAGGCCCAAAATGGGCGATTAGACCGAAGTAGTTCCCTACCCTATGTGTGAAAAATAACAGGATTCCAATCTTTTATTGCTGTCAAAACCTTAAAATCGACTGGCAAAAAATAACATCCAGCAGCACACAATAGATGCTTGGGTATGTTTTATACATAAAACTGATTCATAGCAGTGTTGGCAAAATCAGAAATCAATTGATATTTTTCCGCTCTCATGCGTTCGCAATATCACGCGTGATATTGGAACAAAATATCATGCTTGATATTGATTTCACAAGCTCCTTTGATATTGCGAGACTATTCACAACGTGCAAAAATCAAGCTGAGAGTTGACTCGATACAAAAATGATTCCATTGCACATCGTTTTCTTAGAAAGAGAAAGCATAGTTTGCTATCTATCTTTACCGATGGCAGACGCGAAGGGACTGCTGCAAGCCGTTATGGAAGTTTCGGTTGCATTCGGGTGTAAAGCAACAATCATTAAACTCAATCTCACCACAGTTTGGTGAGATTTGCAACTGGTGAGTTTTGTTAGCTTGATATTCCGAGCTGCGATATCACAGCTTGCAAATCAACTGCAGTTGTTTGCTTGTTGATTTCTGTCTACGAAAATCAAGCGTGATCTTAGGCGTTGGAGAGATTTGATTTTTTGATATTTTCCAAACACTGATTCCTAGTAAAAGTGCCGGGATTACCCACAGTGGCGGGCTAACCCGCACTTAACCTACACGAACGTTCGTGTGCCGGCTGTTGTGTCTCGCTCTGAACAATGGTTTTGCAAACAATGTACATTTGTGTGGTTGCTGTTGATGCAATTTTGAATTGAATTACACTTTTTTGAATGAATTGAAAATGAGGGAGACCTGTGCGCCGGTCGATTTATCGGCGGTGGCGGCGTGCATCGGCGTATTAAGCCCCCCCCCCCCCCCCCCCACACTGCCGCAATTTATTCGCGGCGGAAAAATCGCCGCGTTTTAGTTGCATGGCGGCTCAAACCAACTCCTGATCAACCAACTATCTTGATATAATATCTGAGAAACATGATTTGAATAAATAGATAGATGTATGTAGATCTCCAGAATAATATGTTATCAATCTAAATTCTGTAATTATCCAAAGGACTTCATGGAAATGTTTGATCACGAAAGATCTCTGCAATAATTCTTAATCAAGCTGCGATCTTTAGAGAATATTTTGAATGATAATCTGAGCTATTGAACAATAAAGATCTTCCGAATACTGTCTGGATCAACAAGTCAAGTCTTGCGTGCCATAAAATCCAGAAGATTTTATAAGGGTTTTTGATCAAAAGTAGTTCTAGGCAAAAAATGCTTATAAACCAGCTTTCTGAAAGACATGTCTTAGAAACATGATTTGAAAAATAGGAGAGTTGGAGATCTTCGGAATAATTCTTGATCATCCTGATGACATGAAAAAATATCCATAGGACTTTTTGTACGTCTTTGATTAATTGAAGTTTTAGAAATACTTCCTGATTCACCGCAAGATATACTATCTTGGAGACATGATTTGATATGATGAATAATTCAAGATCTCCAGAATAAAACATGATATTGTCACAAAATATCCAAAGGACTTCATGCAAGTCTTCGATCAACAAAAAGTATGTGAAAAGATTGTTGATGCTCCTGCAATCCTGAGAAATTTTCTGAGAAACATGGTTTGAATTATTAACCAGATAGTAGATAGATAGATAGATCGTCAGAATAATACCTGGTCAAATATTTTTCCTTGATTTGATTTCCGTCGATCTAGTTTTCCGTCCTGATCACCAATGCTACCGACGCCAGGGAGGCATCTCCCACACCTGGACCCTACCTATCGACCGATCAACTCATGAACCGGGGACCAACGGCTTTACTTCCCTTCCGAAGGAAGGCGTGATCAGAGATTTTATGCCTCAGAACATCCCGGTGACGCCGACCGGGATTTAACCCAGGCCTGCTGGGGTGAGAGCAAAACCTGGTCATTGTCTTGATAAATATCCAAAGTACTTTACGCTGGTCTTCGAAAAAATTAAGGTTTTTGGAACAATTTATGACTATCCTGAAAATTTGCAGAACTATATCAGAGGCATTTTCTGATCTGTTGAACAAATGGAGATCTTCAGAATAATTCATTATCAACCTGAAGTCTTGCGAAACGATCCAGAAAACAATATGGAGAACTTTGATCCACTGAAGATTTTGGAAAATTTCCTAATCATTCTTCTATCTTGAGAGAAAATCTAAAAAATATGAATTTAGATTAAGATCAAATCCAAATTATCCAAAGAACTTTTTGGTGATCAATGATTAACTGAAGTTCTTTGGAATAATTCCTGAGCAACCTGATGTCTTGGCAAAATATCCAGAAGACTTTATGCAGCTCTTTGACAATTGAAGGTTTTAGGAATAATTCTGGATCAACCTGTTTTCTGAAAGAAATATCTTAGAAACGTGATTTGAAATACAGAATAGTTGGATATCTACAAAATAATACCTGATAAACTAGTAGTCTTGAATAACTATCCAGAGGACTTTATGTCGATCATTGGTCTATTTAACGTTTTGTGGAATGATTCTTGTTCAATCTGCTATCTTGCATGAATATCTAAAAGACATGATAAGATAATCATTAAAGGGTGACAATAAATTGCATCACGAAAAAAACGCTGTAGCAATTTGCCCATTGGGTATTTTCTCTTGAAAATTTGGGTAGAAGTAGTTAAGAGTCTATTATTTACACTGTATTTTTATCGCTGTCAGTTTTTCGAAAGTTGGAAAAAATGGCGTCACCCGAAAAGCAACGTCGCGAATTTAGACAGTTTTTATGGGAATATTCGGTGGAGTGAAATGATAGTACAAAGTCCGCCATGTTTCGCGCACAGTCTGACGTTTGCTTATGGATTTTCTCATAGCAGTAAAGAGCTACAGAGTCGCCGTCAACGCCAACTGATTTTGCGCAAGCACCTGGAAATCCTCAACTCTCATCGGAAACAACTCGGAATCGTGCAGTCAACGGTGAGTCGTGTGATTAAACGTTACTACGAAACTCTGAGCATCGAACCGAAGGAGAAATGCAGTCAGAATGGATGTTCTATTAGTGATCAGGATCATAAACGTGTCGTGAAAGCGTTTAAGCGGAATCCCAATGCTTCGGTCAGGGATGTGGCCAAAACGTTGAATCTGTCCAAGTCTTTCGTTCAGAGAGCCAAGGACCGGGAGTGACTGCATACGTACAAAGCGCAGAAGGCCTAAATCGTGACGAACGGCAAAATACGGTGGGAAAGTCACGGGCCCGGAAACTGTACACCAAGATGCTGACGAAGCCTCATTGTCTCATCATGGATGATGCGACTTACGCCAAGGCGGACTTCCGGCAGCTTCCGGGGCTACTGTTCTTCACCGTGCAGCATAAGTTTGATGTTCTGGACGAAGTAAGGAAGCAGAAACTTTCAAAGTTTTCCAAGAAATACATGATTTGGCAAGCGATCTGCTCATGTGGCAAACGGAGTGCACCGTTCGTGATTATAACGGGGAGATCTACCTCAAGGAGTATCTACAGAAGTGTCCCACTTTTTTTTTTAATTTGACCCACTGTGCATTATAGGGCATTTAATAATTTGTTGTGGCACAACTTCTCAAAATCTACTGTCATTAAGTTTACGAACTTTTGCTCCATTGCTGAATCAAATTTTGCAACTGGGCAAAAGTTCGTTCTGAACACTTCCGGAAAAAAAATCTTTCTAGCTACGAATGAACTGAAAATCCATCAAAGCAAGTTCTGGATGTCCCAGCGGAAGTAGGTGGAATCTAATTTTCGAATCGCTTCGATTTGCACAAGACATAATTGACATTGCTTTTTAACAAATTTATTAGCAATTTAAATTAATTTTCTTTCTCTTTTCCGTTCCACCAGGATGAACGGGGTCGCGTGATGCGGCGAACCATCATGCGGTATGTGTGCTTGTGTTTCACCATGGTGCTAAGCAACATCTCGCCCCGAGTGAAGAAGCGGTTTCCCACGATCGATCACCTTGTGGAAGCCGGTCTGCTCAATGAGAACGAACACAAAATCATGCACGACCTGAACCAGAAATCCCCCCGACACTCGAAACATTGGCTACCGATCGTGTGGGCGGCAAGTATTGTAACCCGAGCCCGGAAGGAAGGTCGCTGCCGGGATGACTTTGCCGTCAAGACTATCATCGATGAGCTAAACAAATTTCGCGGACAGTGTGGTCTGCTAATTTCGTACGATACCATCAGTATTCCGTTGGTGTACACGCAGGTGGTGACGCTGGCCGTCTACTCGTACCTCCTGTTCTCGGTTATGGGACAGCAATGGATCGATTCCAAGGAACTAGGCAGCGGATTAGTCAATAGGATTGATCAGTATTTTCCCATATTCACGACACTACAGTTCTTCTTTTACATGGGGTGGCTCAAAGTGGCCGAATCTCTAATCAATCCATTCGGTGAAGATGACGACGATTTTGAAGTGAACTGGATGGTCGATCGAAATCTTCAGGTATCGTACCTGATCGTGGACGAAATGCATCACGAACATCCTACGCTGGTGAAGGATCAATACTGGGATGAAGGATTCCCACCGGAGCTGCCCCACACGGTTGCCTCGGCTGAGATTAAGGAGGAACCACCGGCACCATCGACCGATAACATCACGGTCAATCGGAGACAGGCCGAAGTGATCCCGGTGGTGCCATCGTCGATACGGGTTGACGAAATGGTCGGTAAAAAGAGTCAAAATGTTGACTACACATTCCCTGAACAACAGGGAATGCTCGACGACGAGGTTAGCGAACGAGTGCTAGAACAGCGCCCAGATTTATCGATCTCTTCAATTTTCAATTTTTGTGGTTCGTCCGTTGAGACTGGAAGGGATATATTTTATCCTAAGTTCGTTCAAATTACTTTTTCTTAATCGGGCAAAAAGTGGAGAAACATAGCCATTCTTAGTCACTCACCGAGAACGAACCGAAATTAACGATCTAATTACCGGTGGAAGGTTACAAATCTTGTAATAACCGTTATTCACTTTCTTCCCGTAGAGTTAGAGACATGTTTGGACAAGTCAATACGTCTGTAGAATGCAGCTTTTTGGCTATTGTTACTTGTCTCGTCTGTTATACTGCATTTGATTTCTTCCCTATTTTTTAGCAAGATAGAAGATTGGAAATACCAAAAACCCAACGCGCCATTTGAAACACATTCCAGCACTCGCTTACTAATCTGGTGAAATATATCATAAAAATTTTAAAACTCCTAGCGCTTAAGTATACTCACTGTTATGCTAACGACACGACACACACTACATTGATTTTAACTTTTTTAAGACTCTTTTACTCTATCCATATGCACTTTTCCCAACACTTCTTCGAATCTAATTTTTATGTTCAGTCTTCAAAACTTGCACGATAGAAACATGACACACAAAAGACATAACAGAAACATGTACCTACATTCACGGTAACATAAGAATGCTTTCGAAGTGATCTATTGATCGTAGTACCTAGATAACGTTTAACAATAATTGGATACAACGCGGTGGAGGGCTTTAACATAGTACGTGTACACTGCCCATGAAAGCATAAAAGTCACATGATTGCTTGACTTTCTATTCAAATGGGACTGTTATGCGTTTATGGGTAGTACAGTTCTCTCCTTGTTAACAATGGCTCGCTCAACGATAAATGTATTAACTGAACAAAAGGGGTGATGTAGAAAAAAAAATTAAAGAAAATTTTGATCCTTCAAATACAGAGTCAACTACATTCAATTCAAGGAACAATCTATCAGCGGCGCCGGTGATGTAGTGGTAAGCGTGATTGCCTCTCAACCCAAAAGGCCTGGGTTCAATCCTAGAGGCATAACATCTCTGATCACGCCTTCCTTGTAGAAAATCCCTAACACTGAAAAGTAGAGCACTTTTAACTTACCTTACCAATCAGACTAAGGCCTTGTTGTCCTCTGCTGTCCGAAGAAGTCGTCTCCACACTACTCGATCAATGGCCACAGTTCGCCAGCCTCGTAGTCTGCGAAGGGTCCGCAGGTCACCTTCTACTTGGTCGATCCACCTTGCCCGCTGCGCGCCTCTTCTTCTTGTTCCTGTTGGGTCGCTTTCTAGAACCATTTTCACTGGGTCGTCGTGCGGCATTCTTACGACGTGCCCAGCCCACCGTAGTCGCCCAATTTTTGCAATGTGGACGATGGATGGTTCTCCCAGCAGCTGGTGCAATTCGTGGTTCATTCGCCTCCTCCACGTTCCATCATCCATCTGCACTCCACCGTAGATGGTACGCAACACCTTCCGTTCGAAAACACCAAGGGCGCGTTGGTCCTCCACGAGCCTCTCGTGGCCTTAGAGGACCACCGGTCTAATCAGCGTCTTGTAAACTGTCAACTTCGTGCGGCGGCGAATTTTATTCGACCGGAGCGTCCTCCGGAGTCCAAAGTAGGCACGATTCTTTGCCATAATGCGTCTTTGAATTTCTCTGCTGGTATAATTTTCAGCGGTCACCAGTGAGCCCAAATACACGAACTCATCGACCACCTCGATTTCGTCACGGTCAATCTGAACTCGGGGTGGGAGGCTAACATTGTCTTCCCTAGAACCTCTTCCTTTCATGTATTTTGTCTTTGATGCGTTGATGGCAAGTCCAATCCGTCTAGCTTCAGCCTTCAGTCTGATGTACGTTTCCGCCATCGTCTCAAAGTTCCGTGCCGTAATGTCAATGTCATCGGCGAAGCGAAGGAGCTCGATGGACTTCCTGAATATCGTACCACTCGTGTCTATCCCAGCTCTTCTGATCACACTTTCTAACGCGATGTTGAACAGCAGACACGAAAGTCCATCACCTTACCGTAACCCCCTTCGAGATTCAAAGGGACTCGAGAGTGTCCGGAAATCCGTACTCGTGCATAATCTGCCATAGCTGATCTCGATCGATTGTGTCGTATGCGGATTTGAAATCGATGAACAAATGATGTGTGGGCACGTTGTATTTGCGGCATTTCTGTAGAACCTGCCGAATCGCGAAAATTTGGTCCGTGGTAGCGCGGGCACCCATGAATCCCGCCTGGTATTGCCCCACGAACTCTCTTGCAAATGGTGACAGCAGTGTGATCGCGCGGTAGTTGCAGCAATCCAACTTGTCGCCCTTTTTGTAGATTGGGCATACGACACCTTCCATCCACTCCTCCGGTTATATCTCCTCCTCCCAAATCTTGGCAATTACCCAGTGCAGCGCTCTAACCAGTGCTTCACCACCGTATTTTAATAGCTCACTTGGTATTTGATCTACACCAGTTGCTTTGTTGTTCTTCAGCCGAGTTTTAGGCTGCCTCACCGTTGAGGTGCTCGTCATAGTACTGCTTCCACCTCTCAATCACCTCACACTCGTTCGTGAGAAGGTTACCGTCCAAGTCCTTGCACATATCGGCTTGCGGCACGTAGCCTTTGCACGAACTTCCGTGTGTCGTTTACGCGGTACAGATTTTCCATCGTCTCGCGATCTCGATCTTCCTGCTGACGCTTCTTCCTTCGGAAAACCGAGTTTTGTCTGTTCCGCGCTTGTCTGTATCGCTTCACATTCAATCTCGTGCGGTGTTGCAGCATTCTCGCCCGTGCTGCATTCTTCTCCTCTACTAACAGCTTGCATTCGCCTTCAAACCAGTCATTTCTTCGGTCCGGGATTCAGTACCTAGTACCGCTGCAGCAGTACTACCTATGGCTGAACGGATGTCCCTCCAGCCATCTTTGAGAGAAGCTGCGCCAAGCTGCTCTTCCGTGGCTAGTGCAACTTCCAGCTGCTGCGCGTAGTCCTGGGCAACTCCGGCGTCCCGTAGTTGCTCAATGTTGGGTCGCGGCGTTCGACTTCGACGTGTGTTATGCACCGTTGAGAGTTTTTAGCGCATGCATACTGCAACTAGGTAGTGGTCTGAATCTATGTTCGCACTGCGGTACGTGTCGACGTTGATTGTGTCGGAGAAGAATTTCCCGTCGGTTAGAACGTGATCGATTTGGTTTTCTGTGTGTTGGTCAGGTGATCTCCAGGTGGCTTTGTGGATATCCTTGCGGGGGAAAAAGGTACTTCGAACTACCATACCCCGAGAGGCTGCAAAGTTCACGCATCGTTGGCCGTTGTCGTTCGACACGGCATGCAGGCTGTTTGGCCCGATTGCCGGTCTATACATTGCCTCCCGTCCTACCTGAGCGTTCATGTCGCCGATGACGATTTTGACGTACCGTTGCGAACAGCTGTCGTACACCTGCTCCAGCTGCGCATAGAGCGCTTCTTTCTCGTCGTTGGGTCTCCCTTCGTGTGGGCAGTGCACGTTGATGATACTGTAGTTGAAGAAATGGCCCTTAATCCTCAATTTGCACATCCTCGCGTTGATCGGCTGCCAACCAATCACGCATTGGCGCATCTTACCCAGCACTACAAAGCCGGTTCCCAGCTCGTTGGTGGTGCCACAGCTCTGGTAGAAAGTAGCCGCTCGATGCCCGCTTTTCCATACCTTTTGTCCCGTCCAGCAAAGTTCCTGCAGTGTTACGACTTCGAAGTTGCGTGGTTGAAGTTCGTCATAGATTAACCTTTCGCAACCCGGGAAGCCGAGCGATTTGCAGTTCCATGTTCCGAGTTTCCAATCGTAGTCCTTATTTCGTCGCGTAGGTCTGTGCCGATTGTTCCGATCCGTATTTCTTTCTTCAGTATTTGCAACTTTGTTTTTTTTTCTAGGGCGGCTTGTTGGGCCTGCCCCCACCCCCTGTCTCGCCGTGGGACCATCGTGCAGAGCTCTGTTTAGAGTCCCACGCTGGCACTAGGACGGTGATCAGCCGCTCCTAACATGGAGAACAGACGCCGTTTTGAGCCGCACCTCCATGATGAACAGGCGCTCAGGTTTGGTGAAGCATTTCCTCTATCACCGTACTATGGTTACCGCGCCAGTGTTCGCGTCGCACCTCTTCACTTTGCTATTGCCGGACTGGCAACATTGCCCAGGCTACGCCACCCAGCTGTGTCCATGTTTCAGCTGGTAGTCTTTTGTTATCATATGACTCGAGGAGGCGTGAAGTAGGAACTTGTGAGGACCAGGGCTAGGTATTCCGCTCCTTCCAGGTTGTCAACTCACCATTTTGTAGCCCAGAGCACTTATAAGGAGAAGTCTAATATTAGTGTAGGCCGAGGGGCGCGCCCTTTCACATATCTAGATAGAGCTGGAATTAGGGCGTAACAGTTTTTGTAAACAATGATTTCTTTCGAAGAATTCTAGAAAGCCAAGGCTCACCCACACAAATCAAGATCACCATCGGATAGGGGAAGGCTTCGTCTATCTAATGGTTATGTTGGTTTGCGTGGGCGTAACTTGAATTCCTAGTAATCGTCGAGAGAAGTCATTGTTTACAAAAGCTGTTACGCCCTAGTTCCAGCTCTATCTAGATATAAGTGCGTGATATTTAAAATACATCGTAGTAATTATTTTAAATACTTTCAAGACAGTAATAATTTGAATTTAAATACTTTAAGCGGTATTGAAAGTAATTAACAAATAATTAACGATAATTCAGTGCTAACATTTGAAAACGGCACAAAAGCCATTTGTAAACAAATGGTTTGTGGGCCCTTTACTCACTACTTGAAGTACACCCACGCGACACAACAGCAACATCGGGTAGGGGAAATTTTCCCCTTCCTGACGATGCTGTTGGTTTGCGTGGGCGTTCTTCGGGTAGCGAGTAAAGGGCCCACAAACCATTTGTTTACAAATGGCTTTTGCGCCGTTTTCAAATGTTAGCACTGAATTTATGTAATGACAAATAATTTGTAAATAATTTTAACATAATATTTTGTGAGTAATTAAAGTATTTATTGAAATTAAGAGTGTATTCAAAGTATTTAATGCAGTAATGGCAAGATTTTAAATATTTGGACAGCAGGCTGTGTAAAATTGAAAGACTAGTGCGTGCCCCTTGGTGTAGGCCTAAAATCTTCAAAACAACAATCTTGATTAGCTACGCCATTGCAAACCCCGTTAAAAACAATTCAACAATAAAGTTGAGAGCCATTGTTACGCTTTTAGAATGTGTACTCTGTGGTTAACGTCCGCAAAATTAATGTCAAATCGCTTCCAAATCATTCTTTAGCGCCACCACACACAGGTTGAGGGTCATTCACTAATAAACTTATTTCTCGACAAAACTAACAGTAATCTCTTCCATCTTTCGTAGGCCGATGACACCACTAGCGGTATCCATTTTTCCGCCTACGATAACAAACCGTTCCACCGAACCGCTCCGTCCACGAACAGCCTCGGTAGCGTAGTAAATACCATGACCCGTGTCAATACGGTAGCGTCGGCTTTGAAGCGGTTCTTCAGTAAAGATGACAGTGCCAGCAGACCACAGAGTGCCACACCGGAATCACAGACTGGTCCGTTCAGATTCCCGGGATCGGCAAGTTCGTCTAACCTTGGCGGACAACGGGTACCGGACCGGGGAAGTGTTCGCATCACGCATCAGGTGATTGAGGAGGTTGATGAACAGCAGATGACCATCACATCGATTCAGGGTAAAAATGATGCCAGACCCATGGCCGCTAGTCTGTGGGAACAAGGCCCTCCGAAGCCGGCTACTCAGCCGGTTAATGTTCCAAATCCAGCCTACAAACGCACACAATCCGCTGTGGCCCACGCTCAGTATGGCTCCACCGGTATATTCCCACCTGGTGGGGTGGAAGCTCAACTAAGCGCATCCGCTCCACAGGGGGGACGCTTTGAAACGGATTTTATTCCTTTGGATGGCCAGAGAGATGACCCTCATTTTATGGACAGTAAAGAATCGCACAAAACCGTCGAAGACGGTATGGTCGGAGGCCACGACGAGGACTCGAGCGATACAGATGAGTTTGAAATGTTGCGTCAAGCACGTGAGAGAGAACGTTTCGAACGTCAGAAGTTCAAGCTGGCGCGATCCGTCAGTGGACTGGGTCCTGTGGAACCCGATATTTTATTAGAAAAGCTAACCAAAACAGCTGAACAACAGCAGCAGGAAGCAGGTCCGTCCGGTACGGATACACCCGACACTCACAGACATTCCGGGGCGCCCGCTTCGCTGCAGCCAACTGACACCACCTTATGATTCTACGTTTCCGAAGATGACAACGTGATCGTGGTCAATCTTAGGGATGGAAGCTAGCATTAGGAGAAATTTGTGAATCTTTTTGTCCCGGGATGGCATTGGCATTGAGTGATGTGATCGATTTGTTTTATTTTTTGACAATCATTTGCATGTAGGCTTTTTTGAACCAGTATTGTATCAGTTAATAACATTTAATTAATTAAAGTGGACCCCTAGCTGGAGCTAGCAAAATCATCTATTCTCCTTCGATCACAGCGTTTTTTGTTGTTGCACCGCCTACTAATAGCGGATTCGTTTATTATTCAGTTCCAACCTGGATCGGGTATCAAGATTGGGTCTGCTTGTTTTCTGACAAACGTCAGTTTGCTCGTTTGTTTTTAAAACCTAGTTCAGGTTGAGGTTCACACTGACAAAAAGTTCGGTTTCGCACTGGGTTGGAACTGGTGTTAACCCCGATAATAAACGAATTCGCTATAAATCGACTGTGAGCATGCATAAGGGCGAATACGCGATGATCGATTCTCTTCATCTACAGCTAAGCGAAACAATTTTCTAGAATTTGTTCAATGTTGTATTGGCTATCAAAAGCAACAGCAAACGCACCGAGAAACGTTAAATCTAGCGAGTTATTAACAAAAGAGAAAATCGACAAAGAGAATCGATCATCATGCATGCTCACTGTCGAATCATCTCTTCTTGACGAATATGCATTGCGTTCGAAACCGTGGGATCAAAAGGAACACAAGGGAAAACAGATATTCAGTGATATTTATTTTAGCATAGAATCAAAAGGTAGTTGTAGGTATTTCTAGACTTCTAAAGTACACTTGCATGATTTAGGGAAAAAATAAAAACAATTCGATATGCCTTCGAACAAAAACAAATTCTGCCTTACAGAGCTGATTTTATTTTGCCAAATATTTCAATGTGTCGCTATTAGGCAGCTCCTAGATTTTGGAATTTTGCATAGTAAAAGCGAAAAATATATGTAGGCACACTGTTAGTAAATATTTCATATTAACAATATGATCCATTCATGCCTTTTCCAAATATTGCAATGGCGACCCGCAAAATATTGCTTTACGCACCATCTAGCGTTGAAAAAGGTCAGCAACAATCATTCAATTACAATCGAGGGGTGCGAATATAGCACTTATTACAAAAGTAAGAGTCACATTATTTTCATTAATTACTTTGTGTATATTACTTTCAAATTTGTCTGACATGTCACTGTTGTCATCAAATAAAATAATATGCTGAAATACATTAATTTGAAATATTAAACAAATTTTCATTTGGACTACCCCTCATTTGGCCACAGAGGTGCTTTCATCGCAAAAAATTTGGTTCGCCAGCTAAGCGAAAGAGTGGATCATATTGTTAATATAATATATTTGCTGTTAGATAGAAAATACCATCAATGAACCAGTATCCGCTCAAGCCCCATATACTGCTCACCTTTGTAAAAAAATGCTATTTTTCGGATCAATTGCAATAGGTATACACATACCTACTGCCATTTAAAAACCATTAACTTTCATTGGTTATTATTACTATTCCTGAAATATGTCTTAAACGCTGGCCGGACTGAGCAGTTATAACATGTTATAACTCTGTGTAGTCTGAACGTACTATAAGACATACTTTATTGAGAATCACAGTGCTTTTTTTCAGTTTGTGGTACACTGAAAAATATATCGGTTTTTATGTATCATCTGTAAGAGCTTCGTTATCTGAGCAGAGCGATATTTTTTTCGAACCCACACACTTTCATCTCGATTTTTAAATCAAGATTTAAAGCAAAATAATAACTTCACTGTTTGACACTAAACTGACAAACTGACAGCTCGCTCCTATTGACTTCTTGACGCAACATCTCACTTATACAACCTAGCTAGCGCAGCCCTGTAAAATCGGTTTGTTTATTATTTTCAACCACGAAATCAGCTGTCAAAGTGTTCGACTTGACAGCGGATTGTTTTTTTATTTTCAACCAGTAAAATGCATGTATTAGTGAAACTTCTCACTAATACTAACGGAGGTAGAGAACTCTATACAAAATGACACCGAGGGGCGCTAATAAGGTGATTTTCGCAAATGTTATCGTACATATTTATAAATAGTTCCAGTGCACCAGTGTTGGGTTTGGGTTCCATTTTTAATGCAGATTACGAATATACATTTACCTCAATACCTTTAAAGAACCCAATTATCGCTCATTTCAACATCCTTTTACTTTGGTCTAGGTTAGGATCTGGGAGGGAGAAGCAGACTTGAAAATATATAAACTTAAAAGGGAACCAGAATCAAGCAGTCACGAACTGTCATTGGGAGCCAAGCAGTTTGATTATGCTTTTCTTACAGTTAAGAATACACAAGATTTTATTGGAATCTTGCGTAATGTAATTTATAACAATCGTTCGTTTTCAACTTTCTTATTCAATGATACATCGTTTTTTTTTTAATTTATCCATTGAATATACTCAAATCAATATTGAGAGATACTATTAACCAAGGTTTTTGTCAAAATTTTTAGTGGCATAATAAAAAACAGAACAGAAAAGTAAATGTTTACACTGCACACTGGACAATCTCATACAATCACTTACACGCTCAAAGCAAAACAGGCTATTTTGATTTGTTTCCAATGGCACAAATTTTCATGACAAGAAGAACAAGCTATAAAATAAAATCCGTGTGTGCTATCTGCTTCTCCCTCGCAGGTTAGGATTAATCTAACAGTAACGGGGTTGTCCACAGTCCCATGTAGACAGTCTTTGAGATGTTTTAGACCACCACACCTCGCCCCGCTCCCTACATGGACAACCATTCATAAAAAACCAACTCCCCTCCTCCCTAAAACACGGACATCCCAAAATAAGAAGGGGAAATGTAGGTAATGTCGGCCTACATGTCCCTAATTTGGGCCCATCGCTAAAAGTTTGCTATTTATCAATTTTATCTAGATGAACGCGTCATTGGGATGGTACTAATGGATATTTTTGGTCGCTATTGAAAATTTAGTCGATTGCTGAATTTATGTATGGGCCCAAATTAGGGACATGAAGGCCGACATTACCTACATTTCCCCTATATTGCAGAAAGGTGATGTATATGCTACTGCCCGCTGTAAAGTGCACAGCTAAGCATCTTTAGGAGCTGTTAACGAATAGATTTAGTGTTAACGATCAAAAATAGATTTAAAAATCGAGATGAATGTCTACGGGATCGATAAAAATATCGTTGTGCTCAGAAAACGAAGTTCTATCAGATGATGCATACAAATCAGTATATTTTTCGAAGTTAAACAACCCAATTGGTACATGTGGCTGAATTTAGTTTTAGTTTTTTTTTCGCATGGCTCATGAGCTACCCTAAATAATGATGAAGGACCATAATGCAAATACAATGTTGGACTGCCTTAAATGAACGGAAATTGGTACACTGATGGTAATTTAAAATAAAACTAAACTACAAGATATTTCCAGCTGTAAACAAATATGTGGAGCATCCTTCTCAGAGGGATTTATGCATTTTACCAAGAATTCCAAATAACAACTTAACAAGTCAAACGATAGATACTTGAAAGATAAATAAAAGACATAAATTGACATTAACGATAATTGTGGGTTGTCTTTGCTAATCCTAAAACGTATCCATTCAATAATCCATAATTTAGTTCTGGGCAGCAAGCATGGGAAACATCGTTTCATTTTGCAATTAATAAATATTTCTAGATAGAGCCGAAATTAGGGCGTAACAGCTTTTGTAAACAATGACTTCTATCGATGATTTCTAGGAATTCAAGGCACGTCCACACAGACCAATCTAACCATCGGATAGAGGAAGTCTTTCCCAACCTGTTGAAGATTTTGGTTTGCGTGGGCGAGCCTTGAATTTCTAGAAATCATCAAGAGAAGTCATTGTTTACAAAAGCTGTTAGGTCCTAATTCCAGCTCTATCTAGATTTACTCACTTACACTGATTTCGTTCCTTTTCACTTTGCTTCGATGATTTTCCTCGTTGAACGCAGAAAAGATTACCAGCATGGTTGGTTTTCGCAACAGATGTCGCTAGTAGAAATTTGTATTTTGTATTCAAAAACAGAAAAATGTTGATTTTGTTTTCAAAATTAGAACCATTTTCGAAAATATTCGATAAACTTGATAGCTTAAACAGGATGGCAACTTAAAATTCCTAATTTTTCCAGCTTCCTCCAGGTCTAGGTTTCTAATTAAACACTCCCCTAAAGCAGGTTCCAATGAAATATTTGTCCAGGTTACTACATTTAATGTTGATGACATTCAAAAACGTTTTGACAAAATTATGTAATCTAATTTTGATGTTTGATTTTGATTTTGCGAGACAGAAGGGGGTCTCAAGGCCACATTCCACAAAGTGAGTGGAACATGGTGATCACGTCAAACTATAATGTCTAAAATGAACCACATACCCCAACCAACCTCTAGGGCTCCCATACACTCTCTATGCTGAATCGTGAGCCCCCCTTTTCCCATATCATTGCATGCAAAATAATAACCCAAAGCAGGTCAGTTGAATGGCAACATTACTATTAACACTATATTGCAACTAATTCAATTAGGCATTAATTGAATTAGCTTTTTCTTTTTTTTTTCGAGAGTTGACCAACTGCAGTCTTATAGCGAATTCGTTTATTATTCAGTTCCAACCTGGATCGGGTATCAGGATTGGGTCTGCTTGTTTTCTGACAAACGTCAGTTTGCTCGTTTGTTTTTAAAACCTAGCTCAGGTTGAGGTTCGCACTGACAAAAAGTTCGGTTTCGCACTGGGTTGGAACTGGTGTTAACCCCGATAATAAACGAATTCGCTATTAATAGGCTAGAATCTCAGTTGGGCTCTCCATGCGATACACAATACTTTCAGACGACTCGAGCTATGGTGCTCACTAAGTCACTGCAGCTTTTAGGCTCGTATTGTGATCAACTGTGTGTATTAGATTACGACCATAAATCCGGAGAACCCCGAGATCTGGGCGCAATCGCCCCTGCAAACAAACACGTCAATCGTCGGCCTCCCGCGAACAAAAGAACAATCCTGCAAACAAACTATAACAAATCATAGAGGAACTATTCGACTACCTGTTTGTGTTATTAGTTTTTCCAGACTGAGCCCCAATCCGCGAGAAACCGACAAATGACGTGCCCATCTACAAAAGCAACTACGCTCCAACCTCGAAGCTCTCCGGAAATATGTGATAAATCATGTAAATGTAAACGGAATACAGTAATGTCCCGATTTTGTCAACCCCCTTTTTTGAAAATGTTTTCCAATGTTCTACAAAACCCATGCCCTTTTTCAGTAATCTTCTTGAACCTATTGCACCAAAGTATACTTTAAATATCCCTCTTAACGAATGACGAATGATAAAAATTTAGATTTATGATTATGTGAAATTATTGAAAAAAAAAATCTGAAGCGCGGAGGGGCTGACAAAATCGGGTCATTATTGTATTTAAAATAAATAAATTCATTCTTACCTTTTTATGGTTGTTTGATTATTAATTGCTATTATTACCTGCTTAGAGTTGGCTCCTTTAAAATACTGTGTAGAATTTACCTCAGTTCTATCGATTTGTGATAGAACCACGCTCAGCATATTATCCTGTAGTACGACTTGGGCATGCAAGTAAGTCATCTCTCGTCAAAATGATGGGATATGGGGTGATGGTGAAGGGATATAGAAAACGAATAAAAGAACAGAAAGAAAGGTATTAGTATTGGTTACATTAACCCCCCCCCCCCCCACACACACACACACAACGAAAAAGAAACATAGATGCACAGACAAACAGAAATAACACATTTAATATTTTTCTCCACAAAACATAGTCACTAAAACACTACCGCCATCTGTTGAGTATCATGTGATGGATAGTACGCTGAACAGAGGGCGCTAGTGTGCAGACGTCAAACGCAAGGGAACCGACCGTGCGCGCCACAGATGGCGGCACCACCAACCAAAAACACTCGAATGACCGTCAAATCCGTATTCGATGAACAACCTGTCCAACCGAGTGTTATGTCTGTTTGTCTGTGATAGATGGGTTATTAGGAAAGTACAACTACATTATAACTATTAGTGCAATGGATGAACGTTAGTTTCGGGGTCATGTTAGTGTTAGAGTTTTGTTAGTATTGACCCGTATTCAGCCCTGTCGGCCCCTCGAACACTAGTCGCAGGCAGTTGTTGTTAGGACATGCGACACTGTCACTGCTACTATGTTAGAGGTATGACCTGTCAAGTTTCGAAGTGCAAAAAAAAACTCTTAGAACTTTCTTATAAATTAACTTTACACTCAAAGCAAACTGTTTACCTTAGCATTACAAAAGCGAATTTAAAATTACTATTTTATTTTATGCTAATATTAAAATTATGATAAAACTACAATTTACGGCTCCGTGAAATTGACTCGCATGAACCTTTCAAATCAATGAACTGGAGAAAAACTACAATTTTATCAAATTGCAAAAAAAAAATCATAGCGACATTTGACAAATCATCATCAAGCCCCTCATCCTTGGACAGTGAATTAGGCATTAATTGAATTAGTTGCAATAATAGTGTTAATAGTAATGAAAGTATAATATAGTAATTTAATAAAATTAATATTTACCTGTTAATAATGATCGAAATTGGTGAAAAGTATGGGAAGTTGTTAGTTGATTTAGATTAAAAATTATTATTATCGGCAAACAATTATCTCACCCTGAATTGTTTGAAATGTTATTTGTAAATAAGCTAAAGCGTAAAAAAAATACACCGGAGGTTAGCCGAGTAGAACGCGACTACGCTGGGAGCTTGATGGCTCACAAACGGAAAAGTAACGGGAGAACCTCCATCTCCGGGGAACTCTCCGTCGGCGTAGGCTGAATCCATCGCCGGGGGTTATAACTCTGTCTGTCGCTACCGTTCTTTATTTTCGGGTTAATTTTCCTGCAATTTGAATACTCGTTTTATAAGAGTATAAGAGTGTCAAATTTAAACGTTACTTCATATGATAATCAATCGTATACATCATCGCTGTTTAAGGAAGCAAAGATGTCAAATAAACGCTGAATAATAAAACGATTGATCGAATAAACTCTGTTACAACTCATAAAAGTCAAATAAAAGCATCTCGACATACCTTAACCAATAACCATGTTGTGGTTGAATAAATTCTCCAGATTTGTATGAACAAAGCCTGAACAGAAATTATTATTAAAAATTATACAAGTATTATTAAGCATGCAGTTGAATAAAATCGTCAAGAAGTCGTTTCTTCAATAGGCGATTGTTTGTTGGGTAACTGAGTAGAACGCGACGCTGTGAGCTAAATGACTCACAAATTGGAGACACGATCAGTGAACTGGAAGGTAAAAGGGCAAGGCGTCCAAGGAGGTTTTAGTGCGGTAAGAATCCCACACACCGTGTCACCGCGACTGTGCGCCCAGTCGTGAAGCGGTGGCATGATGGCCTTTTTGAAGGTTTCCTCCTTGCAAAAAAAAAAAAAAAAAAAAAAAAACTGTACTAAATGGGAAGATTTATTCTACAACATTAAAGGCTAGTTGCTTCCCTAAGCGGACCCCACCGCATCCTAACTCTTTCGTTAATGTACTTAATGTTATTAGACTATCCGAATTTTCTTGTTTAAGTTCATTTGATGCTTGTGATATCTCATTAGTCTAATTTAATCTAATTGAAATCTCTAATTCACCTAATCAATCATAACCCATGCTTCATTAAGTACCTGCACTTGTGCATGTAATCTAAAATTAAACGTGTTTAAAGTACTTTTGACTTTGTCCTATGTTTATTATATCTTAGTTCGTCCCAGGTGACACCTTCAATTGACTAAAGTGGTTCGCTTT